CACACATACACACTTGTATACACGTGCGCACACACAAACGAAGCAAACGCAATTAAACGAACGATTAAATGAAAGAGCTGCAAAAACGAAAATATTGACGACATACATACATACATATATACAAACACTAGGTATATGTATTGTATAAACGTATGAGCTGCCAACGCAACGTGAAATGGCATGGGGTGCAAAACACCGATTTCCATGGCAAATCCAACACACTGCGGCGAAATACAAAGTACATGCGTACAAAGAAAAATATTCGAGCAATTAAATAAAACATAGATATTTTCAAGATGGTTGTTGGCATACCGGATGGTCACCGCTGTGCTGGTGGTAGTGCTCTGCAAATGTTTATGGATGTATAGGTGTGTGCATTGAGAAAGGAATTTCTAAGAAGCTTTTCAAATTGTTTCATTACCTTTTCAAATATAAATCTGCATACATAAATTTGTAAATATCTATACATATGTACATATGTACATAGCTATTATATAAATTGCAAGCAGTGAACATATAGAAAATAACCAGCAAAAAAATAAATTGTTCGAGTTCTAGCATTAATTTACATACAAACATACATATATATTTCGTTATGTGTAACTGTATTTTTCCAGGCACACATACACAGCCAATTGAAACTCAAAATGGGCTGGCGAAAACTGGCTAGCAAATGTGACGTACACAACCACACAACTCTTCGGCGATTTCGACTCACCAACACAAGCGCATTGCCTATTTTTAGCTATTGCACAGTGTTTTATTTGAAAATTATGAAAGGTAAATATACATATGTGGAAAATGTTCATGGGAAACTCCTGTGAGTATAATGGCTTAAAAATATTATTCTTATTATAAACATATATATTATAATTATTGGCGCGATATGTTCTCTGAAGTGAGTTTATTATTTTTATGATAATCATAAATCAGCCCAAGACAGAGTTAGAGATTAACTGATCATTTTCACAGCCATTTTAGGTTCAAAACTGTTGATACAGTAGCTCGGAGTATATTTCTTTTTCAAATAAAATATTGCATTATTTGTCCCATAAGAACGATATGGCAAAAAAAAGACGGCAAAATACATAAAGATGATTTTATTATATTAAATAGTCTACTTTTGTTTTGCTGAAAAAGCTTTGCACCCAAAACTTACCATAATTTTTAATAGTTGTTTTAACCTGATTTTGTATTAATAAAAATTTGTATATAACTTAGTTGACTCTCTTCAACGTTGTAAGCAAATATAAATTATAATTAGAACAAGAAATCCCAAACTCTCTTTCTCTCTTACATTTTTTCTTTATTTTCGGAAATAAAAAAGACACACAGAGCCATGTCTGGCCAATATGGAGGCTGGAGGCTGGAGGCTGAAGGCTCCCAACGAAACAGCGTTGAGCTTGAATGTAGGATGTAGAACTTTTTTTTGACCAATTGACCTGGTGACAGGAATTCATACTATGCACTTAAACTAATAGGATTCAGTAGCTCTGATTTAGGCCTACTTTCATCACCTGTTATAATACGTTTCAGCAACTCCCATTTGCCAATATTTTTGTTCGAAGCACGTATCATACCCGAAACACTAGCACTTCCAGCATCATCAACGATTATGGTTCGACGATCGTCGTAACATCTTTCAACTTTTTCACAGTTTCATCAGTTGTTAATGTGTTGGATTGGTAGGGGGATCCACAAATCTAACTATTTTTACGGGTGCACATCCGAGGGAAAGAGTTGAGCTTTTGATATACAATCAGGTAATTCAAGCCGTGCGGGGTCACGTTGCATGCAGGTCATATGTAAGTGAAGATTGCGGAAGCAAGTCTGGATCTTAATTGTGCCAGAACTAATTGCCTGATGTTTTAAACGGGGTTAGGTCACTAAAGAGGTGTTAGCCCTTGGCCACGTGAATTCCGGGTCAATTCCAGTGCTTAGAACCGCCTGTGGTGAATCTTGACAAAGTCGACAATGAAAGCAGCTGATAGTTTTATCATAATAAAAGGTCGTTTATAACAACTTAATAAAAAAATATTTGGCAAACGGATTGTCCAAGCTTTCCAAATTCTCCATATATACATACATACATATATTGGACTCATTATAGCCGCCAAAGGGATTTTTGCTGAGTTCCTCCTTCTATTTGAGACGCACGTCTCCAAACGACTGACCGGTTCATATAATGAGCTCTTATCTCGTGTCATAAATACATTCCCAGCCGAGGGGCGACTCAAATTAAAATCAATAATTTAGTTTGAATTGATTTTATACGATTTTCGATGTTTTGTCATATTGAAATCATAAGAACTCTTATTAATAATTGCAAAAATTTAATTTTCCCCTCAATAGTAAGCTAATTATTATATGAAATGCACAGAATGATTTAAACCAAAGTGTCATCCACATGTACACATATTATCATTTCTTTACGCCTGCAAAACATTTCAAATATTTGTTCCGATTTTTCATTAAAAAAAATATCAAATAACTTACGCTTTAAGGATCCGAATGTTTGGATTTTCCAATAACTCAGCACACTGTGCAGCGGCAGCCTGCTAAACACCGCGATGGTGTGTGTGCGGCGAGTTTCTTAGCTTTCATGTAGTGGTAAGCATAGACGCGTCTCGCTCGTATACACAAACCTACGCACAGAATATGTATGTATGCATCTGAGCAGTACGCGCGTGTGTGTGTGTGTGTGTTTATGTAAAAAAATTTCACTGCATATGTATGCGTGCGAAATGCTGAAACCGAGGCGAACATGTGTGCGGCGCTCGTTGCTTTCGAGTTCAGTTCTCATTTGTACTTGGTGGCGCGCGCGAGTGTGTGTTTTTGTTATTAGCAAGAGGAAAACTTTTATTCACAAGGAAATTCAAGTGAAGTGCAAAACAGCTACAAGTTTTTATATTTCTTTTGTTGAAAATATTCGTTGTGCGCAGTCAGCGTGCTAATAGCATTACGCAGGTTAGCGGACACCACACATATTCAAAGTAGGGATATAATACAAACGTACAAATAAGAACCAGCAAAGTGAAAGTTAAATAAATAACAGAAAAATAATACCCGTAGCTGGTGGCGGAACGAAAAGCGCATATCGAGACCGCGCTGCCGCTGCATTGCACAGCAGCGTTTATACATACATAAATACGCGCTTACATACTTTCATACATACGTACATATGTATGCATGCGTTCGTGTGTACATCGCTATGGTATGCTCGGTACTAGTTGCTGCCGCTAGATGGCGCTCATCTTTCAATTTCTGTGTGCTTTAATAGACAACGTTTGAAGTTGTTTTTGTGCTGCCAGCAAAAGTGTCTGTGTGTAACGTTGTTTTTGAAATTGTATGCATGTTTTTCACCGCCTTTTGCCGTTACTTATTCGTGCGAGTTTTTGTTAAACAAAATAAAATTTATGCCAAAATAACAACAAATTTGCAGGTGTTTGTATATACACACATATGGATGTGTAGCACCGCGCCTCTTGTAGATGTTAGCGCATATTTTTTGCAATTCGCTCTCTGCTGCGCTCGCGTCGTATAGTGACGAAACGACACATGCATGCCTGCTTACTCGTTTGCTTGCAATGCAGATGAGATGTACGCGGCGGCGCTAACTTTTGCGATTCAACACAACGCCGCCGCCGCCTTCGCTTACTCTAATACGAAAAAAATGAATATTCCCAAGCATTTGAATCAAATTGCCATAAATCAAACACAAAAAAGAAAAAGAAAGAAAACAACAACAATGCCTCAAGCAACGGCACTTCAAGTGTAATAGCAACAACAAAAATACAGCAGAAAAACAAGCAAGCAGTGAGCGCTATGACAGCTGCTGCGCTTTTGCCTTCGATACAAACGAAATTTACACGTCGTTTACGGCGCTGCTTTGACTTCGCTCGTGCCATGCTTTTCTATTTTTATTGTTTTGTTGCTGTAAAATGTGCTTTTTTTTTCTTTCTTATTGCTCATAAAGATATGCTGTTGACTCGTTTATTTCAGTGACGCTCGCGGCGTCGGCGTTGGGAATTTTATGTTCTTCATTTTTTTTACATATTGCTTTGTGCTTTTCGCGTTTTATTTATTGCTATTGTTGTTAATTTAACTGAGAAGTGATGATTTCAAATCAATGTAAATAGCGCCTTTATGTGTGCGCGGGAGTGTGTGTATGCCGTAATTGGCCAATGATTAGAAGAAATAAACTAGAAAATAGTGGCGCGTAGTAAATTCATAATAATACAGTGGCTCCAAAACGTTGCAGGTTGTTTTTATGAAATTCCAATTGTGCAAAGTTGGATGAGAATGTTTTAGTGATCTGGTTAACAATGCAATGCTACAGAAATACTAAAACAACAACAACAATGCAATGCTACAGAAATAATAAAACAACAACAACAATGCAATGCTACAGAAATAATAAAACAACAACAACAATACATACATTTTTTTACAAAATAGTTCTGTTTACATATATTACATATAGTGCAAAAAGGCTTTGAAACGTTATAAGCGGTAATTAGGAAAAAAAAATAATATTTTTTCGCCTGCCAATAATGATGGCAAACCATGCGAAAATGATCACTTAAATTTTTTTATTGTTTTTTTTTTATATATTTTTTTTATGTAAATTTGAGTTATTTGTTATAAATAACGGTGAAGAAAATATGAATGAAAGTGAAACCATTATTTCATTGCATCCTTATCAGCACAAAGGCACATTATTACATACGTTTAAACAACTCTACACCAGCAGAAAAGCAACAAAAAGAAAAACTTCAAAAAAGCTTGTCAAAAGCACATAGAAATTTTTTGTTTTATTTTTGTTTTCGGTTCATTAAGAAGAAATAATTTTATTTTGTATGCTTTAGATGTAAAAAAATATGCAAATTCAACTGAATTTACGAAAGAGCGTTAAAATAAAAAAGTTCGTAGTTTAAACATTCACAAAAAACTGTTTGGAAATTTTCCTAGTCCTTTTCTTTGAAAAAAAAAAATAGAAGGAAAATATTAAAATCCAAGTGAATTAAAAAAAATTTATTTTATAAATAATAATAACAAAATAATAGTTTGATAACATTAAACGTCTCCAAAACGAACAACCGGTACGCGCAATGGAGAGACAAGCATCAACGTTTGAGTATTTGTGTCGCGTCTGTGCCGCCAACACGAAAGGCAAAAACTCAGTTGCCGAATGTGTTTATATTCTGAAAACGCCGGCATTAAAGGATAAAATTGAAAAGTACTTATATCTAACGGTAAGCATAACAAATTTGCTTCTTTATGCCTATACACAACAAGTGGTATATTTTTTAATATGAGTAAATGTGAGATTCTTCCTTGTTATGTAAATATGAGAGGAGAAAAATCGCAAAATGTATAAATAAATTAACTGCCTCTCTTTCAACACAAACGCAGCAAATGAAACGAATAGTTTGATGATGTTGGCGACTTGAGTTTTATGCGCACAACAGTTTGTAGTTGTATTATGTGCATATGTATGTATGTATATTCTTAGGTATGTAGATACATACCTATTGAACTTTATATTTGGGGCTACATGCGCATGTACGAAGATGCTTCCAATTTGGTGTTGCGATTTTGAGGTCAGGATAATCAACCAGTTGATCAACTAAATGTGTAATATTGAGTTCATGAACAACTGTATATACACACATACATATGTATATATGTAGTGTATATATGTATATAGTTTATGACATATTTAAAATAGAGACCGCCAATTTTACAGACTTTTTAAGAAAAACTGGTGCTAATATAAGAAATTTAAATACAAACATGAATACATATATGTATATATGTATAAACTGAAGCGATTTTCAGCCGAGCTCTCATCATCCGATTTGTGTTGTGCGCATTGGTGTTTTTACAACAAATGGATCGCCCTACAGTTTATACTAAGTCGTTTTTGAATCACTGATGGATTTTTGCTCAGGGCAGTGTGCAAGGCTATCGCGGCCGCCGCTGATTTATGCACCAAAAATTATAACTGTATAAATAACAGTTTATTTGAAAGCAAATAAAAGAACTAAATAGAATATTTTGAATTGATAAAGCCAAACGGAGCGATTTTAATACGTTTTTATGTAATTCTTTTACTGATCTCAAAATTTCCGTGACATAAAACCCTTGTGGCATGATTTTAGGCGCTGACTGTTTACTTGTTGCGCCTAATAGCATACAGCTTTTATATAACAACGTGTACGGCCGTCTTCAAAATCGTCAAAAATGTTATAAGATATTCAAAATGATTGTTTAAAATGCATTATCATGCATATTCTCACTGATAACGGTGAAGTAAATTTTTTAATTATTTTAACACCCGAAATTGAATTTGGTATTCTAGCGCACAGGTCACAATGTTTGGCAAAACTTTGTCAACACTGCTTTTTTTCACATTTGCCAGCTGGTAAAGTAAAAGGAAGAATGGAAGAATGTTCATATCGAAATGGAAGACGAAGCGGAACAAAATTAATACGTTTTTTTGTTTGTTTATGTCATAGATTGTTACCTCCTATTTCGTGGGTAAAAAACTTACAGGGTGACAGTGATCTCAGAATATGAAATAGTAAAAAATTTGACCGAATCTTAGATTATAATAGTAAAGTAAATTTTATTACCTCTACAGAATACACCTGTAAATGTGATTGATTGTGTTGGAAAAAAATTTTTAGTGAACCATTTATTTTATTCCGAATATTAAATTTAAAAATTGTATAAAACTTACAACTAATTTACACTTCAAAATTGTGTTTGATTTGTTAAGACCGCAATTCATCATTTTATTCACTACTTTTTCACGCTAAACGCACACCCATCAAAAAAACATTTGCTTTACCTAGTTTTTACACCATTGTTAATAATTTTCAACATTTAAAAATACATTTTTTTCACTTGATTCAGAATAACTTAAATTCGAAGAAAGTAAATATTTTGTGAGGAGTTTTTATTTAAAAAAAAGCGTTTTATTTGTTAGTGGAAATAGAGAATATCATGTTCTAAAGGGTTGGGGGAAACTTAACATACCTCCCACGCATAATAAATTCATTGTCTAAACTCCTCGAAGTCGACTTCGTGATACATTCAAAAGATGGCTTCACTAGCCTGTTATGATCGATCTTAAAAACGATAACAAAGTTGTGATTTTAGCATCGAAGACAAAGAGCGTCGGGAGTTGTGTACTCTAAGCAACTAAAAGCATTCCAAACCTTAGTGACTATAGTTATTGCGTGAAAAACTTTCGAAAACCATGACAAGTTGATTTTTCAACGGCCCCACGTGGCTGTAAAATTCGAAAACTACCTGGAAACGCTGAAATTCTGCAGACTTTGATCCTTCTGACGACTGGACGAAATCGAAGAACTACTTAATTGATGGATCGCACACAGAGAGGACCCGTTTTTTAGATATGGTATTCGAAAATTACCACAGAGCGGGTAAAAAGCAGTCGCTACCAATGTTGTATTTTTCCCCTTTATTCCAATTTAAAACAAAAAACAAACGCACCGAATTAATTTGAATTGGAGATTTCAGCTCCCATCGGTAGACACTGAATCGAAAACTCTCAAATCTGCTACTTTTTGATTCATACAAATAACATGACCTACCCAGTTTAGCCGCTGCCTCTTAATTTACTGAATTATGTCAATGTCACTGTATATCCCGTGCAGCTCTTAGTTCCATCGGTTGCGGTATTTGTCATCGTCCATATGCCTAGTAGACCGTAAATATTTAACAACATCTTTTTCTCGGAGACTTCAAAAGCCAACTCTTCAGATGTCATATCTTCACCACATAGCAAGACTGGAATGATGAACGACTTGTAGAGCTCGTTAATTTGTTATTCAATCCGAAGCGTTTCTGCGTTGAATGTCAAACCTAACCTTGTTGATGGTGCTGATCGTAGTTAATAGAGAGGCGAAATTATCTACGATTTCAAAATTATGACTGATAGCAGTAGAGGACTTTATAGTAGATTTTATCCTCTCTGCTTAGCTCTCGTTTAGTGTCAAACTGTTTGAAGAGGTATTTCCCGATTCTGACGAAGCTGTTAGTGCTCTGCATCATAAGCCTTTGGCTCACGCCGCTTTGGTGATCTTTAGACATGTAATTTTTACTCAGAGCTCCTCGCAGTAACCTTTTTGATAATGACAATCACAGTTTCAAGATTATTAATTAATATCCTAACCAATAGCTCTTAGTTAGCTCCGCATTCCGAGAGATTTCCATCACTTTCAGCTACAAGTATCAACTATGCGTATACGTAACTTGCTTGTAATTATTTTCCACGTTGTTTTCATTTGATCTTGAGCTATTAAATTTGATAAAATTAATAAATTTATTAAACAAACTGAAGAAATATAATATATAACTTTGATCTTTGTTACAATACATATTCATTACATAATGTACAATTCTTAAAACTTAAATAAACTTAAATACGCGTATGTGTGCATACATACATAATTTTGCAGCAACACAAATCGTAAAATACGTTTCTCTTGTATTGGTGAATTCCTCACTGTGACAACAAATTAATGAATCGATGCGATAACAAAACAGCATAAAATCGCACTACAGCGAACTGAAGGCAAATTTATGTATGTGGCCAATACAGAAATGATGGCAAGAAAATGCTGATAAAAATAAAATGTACAACAAATACAATAATATAATATATTTAATACATATGTATGTATATTCACATATACATACATATATATAAAAATCAGCTGAGATAACTTTTATGTGATATAAAAGCATGTATACATGAATACTATACAAACACTCACATGCAAAAATTTATACATACATGCACATACATATGTACCTACATATACAAATCTCGTTTGACTACACCAACACATACGTACATACATACACAGCCACATGAAAACAAAATTGTAATGAAAAATTGGAAAAGAGAGCAGCAAAATGATTACAGTTACAGGAGAGAGTGGCGTTTGCATGTATATATGTATGTATAAACTTACATATGTATGTGTTTGTATGTGGATTTCGAGCTCAATACAAATGAAAGCAAAAGAAATAATGAAACTTAAAAAAGCAGCTAAGAAAAAGGGGCCACCAAAAATTAAAAGACAAGACATGCATACATACATACATAAGAATTGTGTCACATATTTTCTACTTTTTTCTTTTAATTCACAAAACGGACATTTACTAACCAAAACGAGAAGTTTGAATATTTGTTCGTTGGTAAACTTAAAGTATTTGTTTATTTTATCAGCAAAAAAACCGCTTAAGTATAAACTTAAAAATTTATATTACACACATGTACACATGTACAGTACTTGTTTGTACATACATATGAGTATGTGTGCCAGTGATTACGTATTTCAAGAAAATCCAAAACTTTTGCCTAAGAAAATAAAATACTCCCACAAATATATAATCACCGCTGCCATTCACATCTCTCTCACACCTTCACACCCACTACTTTTTACTCATACTTACCTATATGTATGTATGTATATATGTATTTATAAGACACGTGAATTCACGGAAAGACCAGTTAATAGAACAATACACATATCCCTCCTTCATGCATACATACCTATGCACATATAAACATGCATACATATGTAAATCCATATATTCGTGAATTTTTTCTTCGCTGGAAAATTTTTTTTTACTCGTTTGCCGGTCGAAACGGAGAGCCGAAGACAAGACTATAGGTGTGTGTGTGTGCGTGTGTGCGTTCGTTTTATTTGCTATTATTTAGTTGTAAAGCTTTTTTAAAAATCCGAACAATGATTTTTGCTCGCTAGTATGGGCTGTAAGCGCGTGTAATGACATACTATACATTTTCAACTCGCTTACTTTCGTATTGAAAAGCTCTGCTAACTATTCTTAAATGCTTAAAGCGAAGCATAAAATATTTGTTTCCACCGAATTTGAAGAAAACAAGTAAAACAATGTTTTTCGCATAGAAAAGAATAAATTGTTGCTCTTAAAGGCAGTAGGCCCATCATGTTGATCGCCGTTAGGCTCCTATATTCACCTTCTCAAATGTTTGAATCATTGTGTGCGTGTGCTATAAAAGCAGCGAGACAGTCAAGGAACTGTCTCCCGAGTAACTTATGTCGCGCATAGTGTCAGGGCTGCACAGTAACAGGATATTCTCTTCCTCTTCTTCGTTGCGAGAAAAATCATACCGCATTGTTTTACCGTGAAACCTCGTTAAACAGTGAGGTGTCGTTATGCTATTGGAGAACCAGGCTGGAAGGATAATATCCCTGGTTCTTTACGTGTGTAATTTTGGCCATAGCACCTTCAATCGTGATCAAAGGTAAATCTGCATCGTGTGTATGGCTTATTGTGGATAGAAGAGTTCCTTTTGACTCAGATTTATCTGCCGTGGAACTTCCTGCCTGATGTCCCTGTGCCCGGGTACCTAGATCACGTTTGTGTTGTATTCAATCGAGAGTTTTTTCGGTTTGCGTTTACATTTTATAGCCACATGTGATGTTGTATTGTTATACGGTGGCAGCTTGACTGTCGGAATATTGTACATTTGTGCAGTCACTCGCCGGCATCCCTCATTGCAAAAACCTCTACTTAGAAGTCGCTACAATGTCCTGGTTTTGTCATATTCATATATATTGAAAGCAAAAGCACACTTTTCCATCAAGTTTTCAGCCGTCTGTAAAAATGGTCATGACCTGACTCCCAGAACGAGAGCGTTTGCGTTTCCCCATCCATTTCTGTTTGGGATCGCTGCGGCAAGGGGATAGTCTAAGCACATGCTAAAGTGGTGTCATCCAGCTACTTCAGTAGTTCTGCTGGGAGATAATATTAAACTCGTTGTGTGCGTTATACTGCAATTCTTCATGCGAGCACTGAATACGCAAAGAAGTTCTACATGTGTACATATGTATCTATGTCACATAAGTTAACGAGAAAAAATCCAAGGACAGAATGTCTATCTCCGAATCTCTTCCGAATCTGAAACGGATGGGACTGGTGATAACAACTTAATCACTTACACCAACGTCAAACGAAAATTGCCGTACTCAAAGGAGAGTAAGGCGACACAAAAGGTCTCCAAAGGAACTCCTCTCAATCGGCAAAACTTTGAATGCGCAACGAATTGGATCGTCTAAAGGAAACGATTGCCCAGAAGCACCCAGCTTTGGCCAACAGGAGCGGAAAACACCCGCTGTCCTGTTGAAACACTTCGCTATTGACTCACCAGAAGTTCCGAGAGTGTGGTTAGGAGGTTCTTTTACATACACCTTATAGTCTGAAGCTCGCAACAAGTGATTATCTAGGCCTGAGAAACCTGAGAAAATTGATCGTCCTAATTTTTCGCCAATAGGGACAAGGGATCTTCAAAATGGCTGAAAATGGTGGACGTTTTTAAAAAGACTTGTTACCAGATAGTTTGGTGAAATTGTAGATTTAAAAAAAGAAAATCAAATAATGAGTTAAATAAAAGCGAGATCACGAAATGTTGGTCCTTCAAATTAAGGGTAAATTTGTACTACGACACTCCAGCCACATTTAAACTGAAATTGATTCCAACTGAGCTGTGAATAAATAGTTTTTCATAAATAATTGTTTTAATCAAGTGCATTTTCATAGTTCTTTTTTTACAATAAACCTGTTATCTCATATATGTATTCATATGTACACTCATAGCCACATATACAGATATCGTCATCTAAGTAGTTAGTTTGTATATAAGTATATATATATTTATATATATATATGTGTTTTTACATGCTGATAAGTGACAATACACATGCATACATATACATACTAAACATATATCGTAAGTCACTTGCCCCTATACGTTCTCAATGAAAACAGGTTATAGCTATGTGCACACACACATACACAAACATATGTACATATGTATGTGCAAATCTTGCCCAGCATCTCAATTTTTATTTTTTAGTTTTTTTTTTTTTTATACCAAGAATAGTAGTTTATAACGGGTGGGCCACGAAAAACGAAAAATTGGCAGATAAATGTTTCCCAATGATTTTTGGTATTTTTGCAATGTCTCAACATTCCGCCTTAATGCTGAAACATCACTTCATTCAAATGGCTGCAGCGTCTGGCTTTGCCGTAACGCATTCTGTTCGGTCTGGCGATCTGATTTTTAAAAGCATTTTGGATTATGTGGCCCTCTGCTAGCTGTAATCACGACCTCCGTTTCGATTTTGCAGTCACGTAGCCTTATCCTTAACGTCTTCCCAAAAAAAAAAATCCAACGCAGTCAAATCCCAGCTGCGAGACGAACAGTTAAAATCGATTTTCTACTTGACAATTAAGTTTTTATGCAGTTGTTTTGTAATAATCACCAACTGGGTAGTTAGTTTTCAATATTTCCTCATTTTCTGAAACGTTTCGTAAATCGCAAACTTTGTACTGAATATTTCTAAAGAACTTGTCAAAGCTCAAGTAAGCTGTAGTTCATAAAGCAAACGGTAAATGGCCCACCCTATAACACTACTTTAGATATGTGCACAAATACATATATACATATATATGTGTGCATGTAGTTAGTGTAGAAAATTGGCATTCACTTACATCAATGCACTTTTGCAATGTCAATGTCAATAATTCATACATTCATACATGTATACATACATACAAAACCTCTCATATTCAATTGGAGTGCCTAATATTATATGTTTATACATATGTATGCATGTACATGTTTGTATGTCTGATATATGAATAGTCGTTGAGAGCGTATCGTATGCTTCTTTGCATATTAATAATACTTGTATATACATACATACATACATACATACATACATACCATAAAAATTTCAATGAATTGCAGCTTCTTTCATACCAGCAAGACAATTATTTCGAATTCTCTGAATCTCTATAAAATATTGAGTAACAAAATAAATTTATTAATAAGCGAAATTTCTTTAAACGTAAATATTTGCATACTTACATACAATAAAACACTTGGTTATGATGTATGTACATATATTTATCGATATGTTATTATTGTATTATGTCTGCAAAATCTACATCTAAGCTGGTTTCATTATTTTACATTTTTGTTGTTTTATTGATTTACATTGCATATGCCAAAAAAAAAGTTGTATACAGTGCCTCAAGGTATGCAACAGTTTTAAGTTGCGAGTTGCTCATGCTTTATAGCTCGATTGACAATGGGTAAAACGATAAAGCATTTCGTGTATTAAAGAGACACATAAAATTTAAGCTTCCTATTATATTATAGAATTAACTTGGTAGGGATTTTGTTGTTAACTCCAGGCGTTCGGCAGTGAAAAAATATTTATGTTGCAATTTGGTGATTCTTCAACTTAATTAAAAAAAAGTCCAAAAAACCCGCACGGAAAAAGAAAATAATTTGAATATTACTCAACTGTATTAAAAACTGAAAAAACCGATTCATTTTTGATAAATTTTTTTTTATTTATTATTTTTTATTATTATTTTTCTTACCACTGCTCAGATGATCCGAGCTCGGCAGAAATTTTTTAAACAAGTCCGAATTCGTAGCGAATCCTGAATTATTTCATGTTGAAGCTCTTCAATTGAAAATAGTACATATTGAATAATATCTGGAGATTGAATTAAAATTTTACGGAGAAAGAATATACCAGCAAACTAAGTCTTTCCACGTTAATCTTATGCCCTAATGCTCGTAGTAATGTCGACTTTTTTTTCGAAACTAATACTGAATATTATTTTTCACCTCAGGAATCGCTATTTATTTTCTAAACTTCTTCTTGATTTAAAATTTTTAAGAAATGTGAATAAATATATATAAAAATCGGAACAAAAAATTGCGTAGTAGAATAACACAGAGAGAGCCAAGAGGTGGCAGCGGTTTCGAAAATAAACGTAAATTAAATAATTTTTTTTTTTTAATGAAATTCCTTTTAAATTATAAAGTTTGTGACTTGGTATTATATGTGTGGACACTACAGCATTCAAGTAACCGCCTCTCGAGTTTTTGTTTGAGGTGATTTTCGATCACTTTTTCCCAAATATTGGACGGTATGTCAGCCATAACTTGCCGAATGTTGGTTTTCAAGTGCTAAACAGTTATCCGCATAATCACGGTTTTTCGGGTAGTCCCACAAAAAAAGTCCAACGGTGTCAAATAGTGCGATCACGGTGACCAGCTGACATCGCCAAGACGGGAAATTGCGCGACCGGGATATTTCTATTGCTATAAAGACATATTCGCTTGGGTTGCGTGGCTTGTGGCACCATCCTGCTGAAATCACATATTGTCCAAGTGGTGTTCTTCAATTGTGGTCCAAGAATAGTCGGTCATTGTATCGGTTATCGTCGTATAACGCTCCGAATTGGCAGTGACAGTCTCGCGGTTGTAATTTTGAAAGAAGTAAGGTCCACTCACAAATCGGCACCCCGAACCTAGATCGCACCTGGCAGTAAAGCCGATAAATTAATTTATCCTCAAAGTGAAAAATGTACCTCGTTGCTGAAAAAAAATTTATTCGTTAAATCGCCGTCCACTGCTACTACCCAATCGCCGTATGTAAATGCAGCGTTGAAAAATAGACTGATTCGGCTCTTCGGCTAAACTTTTACTTACAATAATGATAGTTGAGATGGAGCGAGAAAAACGAAACGAGAAATGATGCACAGACCTTACAATATCTGTAACCGATCCAGTCTCTTCAAAGTTATTTAAAATTTTACAAGTTGTAAGTAATTGGACGTTTAGATCCGCCATAATCTCTTCTTAAAGCTCAAAGCCTGGCCATGTATGAATCTTGAAACAGAACAAATCAAGCTTGGTTTGACAGTTAAATTTGACATAAGTCAAAATACACCCTTGTATATCTGAAAATACTAGACGGATACCCTCTTATTATCTCCTCTCTCTCGTGCTGTTTTTTTCTTGTCAAAAAAATCCACTGTTGGGTTGGAATTTCAGGCAGATTAGTATTCAAAATTATAAAGAAAATATTTTTTAATTACGATCACCCTTCGGCAACGAACGACAACCCCTCTGAGTGCGTTTCTACTCATGAGAATCCATGCTATTTCGTTTTTACTTTATTATACCGTTAGTTACCGTTTTGAAATCTGTACTTTCGAATAACATACTTTATTTGCGCATTTCAGATTTCCGAAGATGATATTTTGCCAAAGGTGCTCTGCAAGGCGTGTTTCCGTCAAGTGGAGGCCACCGCTTCGCTATCCAAAATTGCCAAGCACACACAGAAGGTTTTCCGCGACTTCATCTTCAGTACAAAGGTATGTCATCAAAGCGAGTAATGTATTAAATTTTCATAATAATAATTTTTCACACTTGCAGTCGTGCTTACAAGCCGAAAGCATTGACGTCAGCAGCCCCACCATCGCCCCTGTGGCAGCCGCAGTGCCCACACCAGTTCCGACACCCACAAAGGAGTGCACGCCTATTGTCCAAATACCGGAGCGGCCAAAATCGAAAGAACAAGAGCGACCAATTGTACAGAGTGCAGAGTCGAAGCCGCCAGCCTCACTTCCCGCATCGTCGAACTGCTCCCACAAGGATGAAGTCATCCTCAATGTGTCCGTCAACGATCCTTTGACACGCGAGACCCAACACAAAATGATAACAGCATCGCGTCGTCAAAATTCGCTAGATTCACGCTTCACGCCAAAATCGATTGCGCAACGTAGCTTTACCCAAAGCACACCAAAGCAGGCGGAGAGCATGTCAGCTGAAAAGAAGCAAATGACATCGGGTGTTATTAATTTCTTTCCAAATCGAAAACAACAACAAGTGACTACAATCCACAGCGGTGGATATGTAATTGGCGCAGCGCCAGAAACCCTACCAACAACCAGCATACCGGCCGAGTTGATGCCAGCGTCGAATACTCTACAGCAGAAGCGTAAAAATCTTAAAAAGGCACTTAATAACTCGAAAGCGGCAAATACCGGACAGGTTTCGCTGCTAAAGGTCTCACAAAAGCCGCCGCCACCACCAGCACCACAGACGCAGCACAGCCAACCTAAGACACAAAAACCGGTCGAGCCACCAACTCTATTGGTGGAAGATGATATACCGGCAGACCCATTGCCTCAAAAGATTATCATCGCCGCCACAAAGCAACAAAAGCACCAAGTGCATGCTGCACCGACACCGGCTAAAACACCACCAGAGATCGTTGTCGAGCCACAAACTCAATTAGAGCCAACCGATTTGTCGCAAACCGCCAGACCAAGTATACCCGATGACATTTTGCTGGGCAAAGTAATTAAAGATCTTGACCTGCTCAAGCTCATACTCAAGGCACTCAAATGGCCGGTGAACAAACATACTATGGAAGCACAATTGGAACGTTTGCGCAACTCGCGCTTCGCACTAATTATGGCCGATAAAAATCTGCTGCAAGACGCTGATCTCACACAAATAATGGGACCGTATTTGGGTCCCGTGTTGCAGGCGGCGCAAATGCTGCAGCAGCAACAACAACAGCAAGTAGCGGCAGCGGCAGCAGCAGCAGCCATAACTGTAACTAACAAAGAAACTGAGCTGCAGGTGGCGGGCATAACAACGGCATTGCCGTACAAACTGCCGGCAGAGACTTCAGTACAATTGGTGCCGGCCAGTCCAGAAGAAGCAGAGCGTGCAGACGAGGCGCCACTCAAGGAAAGTACTTCAAATCAGTCAGTGAAGCGTGGCGCTACAAAACCCAATGCAAAAATGGTGCCCCCTAAAAAGGTGCGCAAAGTGACAACACGTGGACGCAGTGCTTCGATTTTCAATAGTGATGAATATGCAACTTTGAATTCCGCGCTCAATTCCCAATACCAAAGCTCAAAGTCCACACCCGACTTCCACGTCGATCTCAATCCCTCAGCACTATTTGCGCAATTGAACATGCTTAGTGGTCTCAGTGCGTCCAACTCGAATGAGGCGCTCATCGCTTTGTTACAACGGCAACGCGCTGCATTGACACGTTTTCAACAACCCCAACAAGACTCCCAAAAACCGACGGCGCGTCGCCAACGAAGCAACTCGATCATTACCGTGCCTGCCAGCGGCAATGACTTTGTCTTCGACACTGATGACATCATATTAATGGAGCCAGATGATATCACTCAAACGAACTTACCAAACAGTGCCGACGTCAATACGGGCAGCTCTTCAACGACGGTCTCACAAAGTGATACGATCACTTTCCCAGTACCACAGCAGGTGTCAAAGCCCATGATAACACGCCCAATTATTAAGCGTCGCAGAACCGTTATACAAGCATCACCAGCGCGCATGAATCTTGCCATAAATGCAGACCCAGCAACAACTGCGGCCAGCGCCAAATACACTGATAGTGCAGACAGCACCACCACAACGACCAAATTGGTGGCAAAAGCCACCGATATTTTCCCGTCCGCAACCACTGTAGCTGCGCCGGGAAAGAAACTCTCTAAAACGCAATCGCTTGACAGTCTCAATACAATTGCCACGCAATATCCATCCAACATCATCTCGGTAAGCACACAAGTGCCTTCAAACACCACAACTGCAAGCGAAATTGCCACAACCACCGCTATTGTCACCAAAGCCACCGAGACTTCGATGACTGCAACAGCTTCTGCCGCAACTAGCATGTCCTCCTTACTAACTAGCAATGCTGCTGCCAACGTCGCCGCCGCCGCCGCCCCCGTTACCACATCCACCGCGTCTGACAAGTCGACAACGCGCAGTAGTAAAGCATCAAAAAGACTCTCATCAAGCAAAGCTGCACTCGGCCAACAACTACTCGAGGCGATCGGTCTGCAGAAGACCGCAACCGATACGAAAGATGTTGCTGTAGTATCCACTGCCGCACCCCCTGCGCGTGGCTCAGTACAACAAATACGCAGCGCATTGAAGAAGTCGCTGCAGAAAGCGCAGGAACAGCAGCAGCAGCGCAACAAAAAGCAGCTGCCAACAATCGTTATTGACGACGCGCCCGAGAAAACGGTGAATGTAGTGCAAGAGGTCGTTGTGCAGCCACGCGCCAAAGCCAGCACACCAGCAGAACCTTTGGACGTAGAGGAGGAAATCAATAAGATCACTTTGGTGTTGCAGAGCAAATCCAAGGACGACAAGAACATCGAAGAGGTAAACAAACGCCTGAGCGCCGCGGCACCGACGCGCATCCCAGGCATAAGGCGTAAGGTGGTGCCCACTCCAAGGAATCGCAAACCAGCTGTGGCGCTAATGGCAGACGAAATTGTCGATCTTGTTGAGGACGAAGATAATCAAGCAGCTGCTGAAGTGAAAGGCGTCGACAATGTAAAAGACAAAGAGGAGGAGTTGAGGTAAGTAGAATTAAAGAGACAACAATATAAGAAAAAAACTACGTTAAAAATTTTCAAAATCTTTTTACAGCGTCACAACTGTGTCGCAAAGTCAAACTAAGGATGCTGTCAAAACTGAAACACCAACGCGTAGACGTGGCAGAAAAATGAAACCGCGTGAGTTGGAGGAATTAATAGATGCTGACGATGACGATGACGACGATGATGACGATGAGGATAACAAGCCGCTGAAGCCAAAGAGTGAAAAGAACGCCGGCGATAAACACAAAGATGAACCGCGAGCACGTACGCCGGCGCCACGTCAACGCAGTCGACCACCACCAGCAAATGGCCGCAAAGCGCCAAGTGAACGTGACTTCGACGATGATGCGGCGAGTGTGAAGAATGACAATGAAAGCACTACCAGCACGGCGTAAGTCGGCTGTCTAGCCACCAACCAATCATTATGCTAAATTTAAGAATACCTGAAATATTTGAAATATAAATTTTATTTCTTTAGTGGCAGCGGTCGGCCATCACGCATCAGCAAAACGTTGTCTAAATACTACAAGGGACCCGATAAATCCCCAGCGCGCAGTTCTAACATTTCAACGCGCAGAGGTAGACCAAGGTGAGTGAGTATTTGGGGTGTTTTTAACTCTGAATGTCGACATTTTTTACAATTAAATTAGTTTTCGTTTATAAAAAGTACATAAAAATTTATATTTATTTATGTTTTTAATATAAAATTATATTCAATTTCCCAGAAATTAAACCGCCTACAACCAGAATCTTTTGTACAACGCAAAATTACCCTGTAACTGGCCAGCACAGCACATATTTTTCCTTATCAGCAGACGTGGATTATTCTTATATTTAGTGGAAATTCCAAGAAATGCGCTTTAAAATACAAATAATAAGTATTTCTTACGTCATCGTTGATGTAAATATATACTGTATATAAAAAATATTTTCTATATGTAAAAATATTTCTTGTCTTTTATAATTTAATTTTAGTTGGTTATAAATAATAAAATTTGTAGTTATGAAAAATAAAAGAGACGAAAACTGAATTTTTCTAAATAATCAAATTATTATTAGAATAATAAATAATATTCATAAAAGATTAATAAACATATTTACATTAATGAATTAATTAATTTTAATGAACTAAGAATAAATGTTTTTGTACGTATGTGTGTATGTATGTGGCTGCGTTTTGGATCCAAAAAAAAAAAAATATTACAAATAATTCAATTTTTGCAACTTAGTTTTAGTTAATTCAATTTCTTATGTTTGGTAACATAAAATATGAATTATTTATTTGTGTTTATATTAATTTTTGCAAGAATATGCTGTACATATAGTTTAGTTGTTTTTTTTTTTTTTTTTTTTTTTTTTTTTTTTTTTTGTTTTGTTTGGACAATTAAAATTTTTGTTTAATTAAATAATCATAAACTAAACAGCCATCACCTGCACGCTTACGTATGTATTTATGTATGTAGGAATATATACTCGTAGAATTCTTATTGACATGTAAATTTTGATGGTATATGCCTTGTAAATACAACGAATTGCTGAATTAATTTTACATTTGTTTCATTTTTTAAAGGTGTTAATAATTCTAGATAATTTCTGTGCTGCACTTATTTACGAATTCCTTAAAATTTTTTGTTTACCTAATAAATTATACAAAAAATTTAATGAGTACTAAGCTTAAACTTATTTAACATACATACATGTTAGGTAAAAATACACATAGGAATGTAAGTATGTATATGTGTATTGCTCATATGCGTACCGTAGTGCAGTAATGCACGAAACCGCTTATCAGCGTCCATTTATCAGAATTTTTAGGCTTTTTTTCATTTATATAACTTTTCATTTGTATAAACATATATTAACGAAAAGTGCCTCCCACGCTGGTCACGCAATAAAGAAACAATGCATACATACATGCATATGTACATACATGTGTATGCTTGTATTTCGTGTAGATTTTTGGTATAAAACAAAACTGCGTGAGTTGGCGAAATTAGCCAAAATAAACACCAGCGGAAAATAGGAAATACGAAACAATAAGCTAATGCAGAAGTTTTTCTTCTTCAAGTAATATACACACTTATGTATACCTTAATTACATATGTATATATATTTAAATTCATATTTAGCAGCGAGCAAACCGCAAATGAAGACAGAAAAGCCAAAACCATAGCTGAATAAATGTACATTAATAAATATATTGTATGTACAATATGTATATATGTATGTATGTATATACAGTTCCACCTAACATAATACGTATGTACATAAGGATGTAAGTATAAGAAAATGTATAACTGTGTCTCCTACCTCAACAGACCTTCCAAAAACAGTCTAATAGATTTGATCGTCGCGAAAAGACGTCAATAAGCGGAACAGTATCAAAGCGTTATAATTCAAATATGTAATAAATACAATATATAATATGTATGTATGTACATACAAATGTATGTGCATATAAATTTCTATGAAAGAAGCCCATTCATTTGCACTTATAGTTTGGCTATCATATCTTTACAATAACCAATGGTTCCAGGAAAGTGCTTGGTAAAAAAAAAGATGACAACAAAAAAAAAAAACAATTATTCAACGTCCTCTTAAGTGCATGTTTATCAGTGCGTGCATAAAAAAATAAAACAAAAATCAGTAGCTGTAATTAACGTACGTTTTGCACAGCACCTTGCCAAGTGATCGTTAGATTTCATGCTTACATACATATGTACTTATGTATATCAGTTACAGCAGCGTGCAAATAAACTTTCAAACCCAAATGTGTTTGCTCAGCGCGTTGAAAAAAATTAAAAGAAAATTTTTGAATTTTAGTCATCAGTGTTATATACATATGTATATACATACGTGTAGTTGCTTATTGTGTTTTTGCAGTTTTAGCCAAGGTGTTGCTTTCGCTGCTTAAATGAAAAAATAGAAACTAAAATAAGTGAAAATTTTTGTTAGTCTAAAATATATATACATATGTATTGTATGTGTAGATAGGTGAAGAAGCAAAAAAAAGAAATTGTTTAACAAGAGTTTAAGCAGCGGCAAAAATTCAAAAAAAAAATCACTGAAATTGAAAATGCCTTGCTATAAAAAGTGCAAATCGGACAGTGGCTCCGATTCAGAGGATAAAGATAACGGGGTAAGTTTCATGTTATCAAATCGAATTGAACGTTTTTATATACGTACGTGATTAAGTGTAAACACAGGAAGATTTGATCGTGTGCTCTTTTACACGGAACTGAAAATCTCATTTCTCCAAAACTTCATCGAAAATTCTGATAACGAATAGTGAGGTCTAGAAAATAGGATTTCAAACCTTACTATTTTTGGATTATGAAGAATGCAATGCAATTAATAAATAATTAGGAATTCTTATTATCTAAGTAATTTTTTCCTTATTACTTATGAATGAAAATATATAACAATTAAAAAACCCTACTTTACAGATCAATAATCATTCAAAAAAAAATTATTTATAATCTCCATGGTTTGCTAGGTAGTAAGTATGTATGAATGTAGGTATATTTTTAAAACCAAATAATGATCAATCATTATTTTATCAACAAAAAGCGGTTATTAATTTTCACATTAAATACCACGATACGTTATCAGTTACGTTGGTGAATGAAAAAGGTCATTGAATCACATTCCACGGCGAAACTAGGCAACTAAATTAGGCCAAAACATTTTTTAGTCACCGCTACAAGTTCATGCTGAGCAGAACACAAGAACTCGTTTACATTCATACATACACATAATACAGCGCGAACATCACACCACCACCCATATATTTTTGGAAACATATAAGCAATCGAATGCACCACCGCAAGCCTTAAAATTTTCTTAACAAAACAGTATAAAATCAAAATAAAATATGCTAAATGTGGTGCGAATAGTAAGAACAGTGAATAAAGCCCATGCAGAACAGATGGCGCAGTGAAACAGTCAAGTGATTGACGACCATCTCGACGCGAGAGCGAGGAACTTGGCTGAGCAAGAATCAACCGTGTGTGTGAGTGTGTGTGGGTGTGTGAGCAAGAGTGAAAAAGCCAATTTAAAGTGTATCTTCTACTATGGCCGCATTAACATTTTGCGTGTGCAATGCTTTACAGCAACTCTGTGAATTCGCGGATGCATTTGTGCGTTTCGGTTTAAGTGCAAGTAGAACTTTCCAGTATTTACGTGCCAAACATAATCAAATAGAATTTCGTCGCAATTGTCGTGCTCTCTGGCTACAAGAGTTATCCAATCGACACGCAGTATCAGTGCGTTTAGTGTATGAGATATTGCGGCGTACGCGTGTACCTTTGACCAGTGCCAAATACATAGATTACACATTCGATTTGTTTAAGCAAGAAATGCATCGAAGAGGCATCGATTTTGCCGCTATTGAGGCGACTGCCGAGGCTTATGAGGCCATCGACACATTCGCCGTGCAACGCCGGTCCTTGGGTAGCAGTGATACGTTGGATGGTGCAAATCGGGATTATTACATGGTGGATAATTATGATGAAATTGAGGTGCTAAGCGGTGATGAAATTGATGTAGGTATTTTTGATTTACCAGACTTATTTTGTCATAGCAGTAATATTGGAATTTCCATTAATTCACGTAAAATATATTTGATTGCCTCATCGGCAGTTTTATTGAACTTACGTATTACGTAGTTACTCCCCAATAATATGTGTGTATGTATATGGGATGGGGCTGTTAATTGGACACGCCACCCCTCTCTGGTTACATTAATTAGTTATTTTTTCTTTATCTACGAGACATATGATATTCGTTTTATTTGTTTTCGTCTTGGTTTTCTCTTTTTTATCTCACCCAAAGAAAAACGTCAAATTGTTGATTTTCGTTTTTGTGCTTTCATTCCTCAATGTGCTGCCATATCTGTTAAAACTAATTCTAAAAAGTTAAAGCAAAGAACGTATATGAATCATATACGTTCTTTGGTTAAAGCTATGCGCATAGTCAAAGAGTGTGTATTAGCTACTCTTCCTATTTCCTATTTCAATGGCTTTTTTTTCATGTTTTTCGCCGGTAGGAAAAGCCTACAATTTGTACAAAATGAACTATGAACGACTCCTAAATAATTTTTATGAAGCTTTTATTTCATGCTTGTAATACAGGAAAGAACGTATATGAATTCATTTACGTTCTCTGTGAGCAGCATAGAAATATGCAAGAAAAAAATTTTGTTTTTGAAAGTCATTGTATACATTTAGGAGAGGGTACTTAATCAAAGAATTTATAATAATTATTTTTATAGATTCTCTGCTGGACTAAGTGTATTGGAGAATTTATAATAATTAATTACTATAAGCTCTCTGCATGGATTATATTCTTCAACAATTTCCATTTCAAACAAACAGCCAACGGGAGACAAGCCTTGAACTTTGGCACTTGTTGATTAAGAGTCACCAATCCATTAAGGCACTTCAGTTATTGTTCTACTCGCCTTGAGTCTGCTTGAGTGCTTATAGCAGCACCACCCATGCGATAAAATAAATAAAAAAAGGCAAAATACTGAAAATACTGATAGCAAATAAAAGGCTACACAACAAAAGGCCAACAAAGGGAATGCCTTAAGCTTTTGCAAGAAAGCTTTCTTATCAGGTAAATGCAAATGTTTGCTTGTGTGTTGGTATGCAAGCTAAAAGTTTTCAAAGCAAACACACTCTCCGCCACAGTGAGAGAATTTTATTTTATTTATGTACGAGTATGTATTTATATGTATATATATTTTGATGAGAAGTGCTTCATTATAAATGGCAAACATGAGAAAATTGCAAATAAGAAACACAACAATAGCGCAATCAAGCATTTGCATTTTTACATTTTTATTAGTTGTAAACAAATTCTTATGCTTTTGCATGCTATGTTCGGTATGCGATGAAAAAATAAATCAATAAATAAAATAAAAAAATAAAAATAATAAGATGTGCAACATTCCTACAGTCGCGTCTATATGTCTATTTAAAAAAAAAAAAAAAAAAAAAAAACAATTATAGATCTAATTGTAAATTTACGCGGAACCATCTTGGGGAAGCAATTTTAAATTCTCATTTCATATTCAAAATATTAGGTTAGGTTCCACTACTTTGCTGCACGCGCCACAGACCTATCCAACTCAGTAAGATCTGGGGCTTTCATTTTCTGTCTTAAACAGACCAGCTGGGCCCGACAGCATATCAACGTGGCTTCATAAAGCGCGTCAGCACCGCACTTGAAGCAATAAACTGATGGCCTCAATCAAAATGGGCCCTGTGCACGAAATGTTGTGGTATTACTGGATCTATAAAAAGCCTTGGCACACTTAATCAAGCAGTGCTACTATCATTTTTTGCGGACTCATCATTTTGACTGAGTTTAAAGGGGTGGACTATAAATTACCTGATTAGTCGTCAGTTGTGAGTAGAATTTCGAAGTCACAAATACAAACTCAGAAACCGATTTTACACCTGCTGAAGCCAGGAATAATCAGTGATTTCACAGACTACTTTCAGCATCATACCGCAGTACAACAAGATAAACTACCGATAGACACTAAACGCCATTCACGTAGAGTACGTAAATACCTTCATTAACTTCCTTTACGTAAATGCTGCCTCGCGAGATTCGATAATAACTGGCTCTATCAAGACTTGGTAATTTGTACTTATCCACATGGGTGGGTAGCGGAATTTATTCTCCCGTGCTCTTATTGAGCATGACAATAGGGACCACTGCAGCATTTTCCAGGCGGAACTCTGTACTATCATGGAGTCCGCGGAGTGGTTGTACAAATCTACGGCAGAAGAACAATCGGTTACAATTTACTCCGACAGTCAGGCTGCAATCAGATCTCCTCAGTGTAACGGTACCACGTCAAAAGTTGCTATTAATTGTAGGAACTTACTTAATAAACTCTCAACGTTGTACAGTATAAAAACATTTTATCCTTTTTGACCGGTTCTTCATTAACATAATAACTGGACACGGGAAAAAAATGGGCTATTACTTCAAAGATTTCTGTCGCAGCTGTAGGGACGAAGTAGAGGAAAAGACAATCGAGCACTACCTCTGTCACTGTCCAGCCGTGACATCTACGCGACCCAAGTTCCTTGGGAAACACTTCTTCGACGGTCTCGCTGAGTTGACCTCAGCGAGTATTGGAAATCTCATTTCATTTATAAGTCACACGAAATGGTTCGATCATTTGAGTAGATGAAGACAGGAGTCTCAGCGGTATCACAATGGGCCTATTCTCAACACAACTCTCAGACTTGATACCGACATATTTAGCATATACATATACTGCACACCGCCACACACCATACATGAGTCTCCGTACAATACTATTTACTTTCTTGAATATCCTCTAAAACCTCCTCATCTAACACCCATTTTTTAGGGACAAAACCCGTTGCTCCTCGTTGCAACATTTTTTATCCCTGCATTTAGTGTTTGAAGACTTCATGTTTCTATGTCATACAGCATATTGTAGTGTAAGCAAAAATCTTCATTTCCAAGTAAAGCACGGGAGTACGTAATAGAGTTTGAACACTGAGGGCTTTTTGTCCTCTTTCTCTTCTAGTGGGTTTGCTACCTAAAACTATTTTTTACTGACAAACCCAATATTTATAATTTAAAGGACTCAAATTCTTATTAAGATGCATAGTTTTAGGCGCATCATTCTGAGTCTCTTTAGCATCATTCAGTTCAGTCTCTTTAGCATAAATTAATTGCTTATGCCTTCATACTTGAGGTAGAGTATTATAGTACCGGCGTAATTCAATCAGCTGAAGGGGTTGCTGGTGTGTTTGTATATGTGTATGTCAGAATGTACCACAACGCAGCTTTACACTGTCGAAAGTAATGAGTAAGTGAAGCTTTTCAGGTTGTTATATAGCTTTTGCGAGCAGTCTCATTGCTACTGTAGCCACTGTTTGTTTGAGTTTGTTATTGCTTGGTGTTATTGTGCAGATGTACTAATGTACATACATACATACATACATTCGAACAATACACTCCTGCTCCACATTGGAGCTTCTCAATGCTTAACAAAACGATTATCTTCAGTCAGTCAGGTCGCGAATTTGTACGACAAAACATGTCGGAAAGGCCAGAAACTGTGAAATCAACAGCGATAAAGCTAGCAAATATAGAAACAACAAAAATAAACGAATTTTATAGTTACATATTTATAATATAGATAAAAATTTTACAACCGAAATCAAAATTTAAACTTTGAAAAAACGAATTTAATGAATTTTTATGTAGAAAATTTTACTAAAAGCACATTTGTTTGTGGAAAGTGAGACAAAACGAAAAGTAAGCAAATGCTAAGACGAAAACCACGAAACGGCAATCGATTTTTTTCGACGATGACGATTTCATAGCCAAACTTGGTAGTATATATGTATGTATGTACATATGTACATGTGTACAATGCGAGTAGAACTCAACGGAAGGTGAACGCGAAAACTAAACACAATCTATATATGTACTCGTATGTATGTATGAAAGTGAAGTGCGGGTTGCGCACATAGCGAAACTGTGATTAAATCCAAATAATTGAAAATTTACATGAAAGCATCAACTTTTTTTTAAGCGTTAGTGAATTTTGAATCGCCGTCGATTTTTTTTTTAATTTTTAGCTAGAAAAATTCTCAATTAAATAAATACACTCTTGTGTATGTGTGGCGGTGTGTGTGTTTATGTGTTTTAAATTCGAGCTACGCATTTTAATTAGTTAAAAAAAAAAATAAAAAAAAAAATATTAAATTAAAATAAATAAACAACTCAAAAAATTACAACAACATTCAGCGCAAATTATACAAAGCAAGTGGTCAAACCGGTGCGAAGCGTTAAGTTATTTATTATATAGGCGCACGCTGAAAACACCTGTCTGCCTTTTTAAAAGCAACAACAACAACAACAACAACGACAACTATCAAATGTTATTTCCTTGTTGACATTTAACAAGTGGAAAATAAACAAAAATCAACGTAAATGACTAACACGAAATGCACGTTAACTTTTTTTATTGGCCAACAACAATAGCAAAGCATACACGTAGCAAAGCACAAATTGTAACAATAACAATAACAATAACAAGGATTGATAAAACACAAAATATTGTACATGAAAAAAAGATATCCAGCAGTTTTTAGCAGGCAGAAAGTTCAATAGGCCGGCATAGCTTTGCAAAGCAAATTTGTATGAACCAAGCTTACTCGTCAAGAAAGGCAGACAGTTGGAAAGTGTGCCGGTAAAACAAGTGGTGATTCATGCGGCATTGAGTGTTTGTAAATTTTGAGAATATTTGGCAGGCAAATGAGCGCCGGTAACACCGCCGAAATGTAATAAGAGATGACTGAGACTAGATAGAATACTAAACGAAATTGAAAAAGGCAAACAAAAGCGCTAAAGCCAATAACAAAATAAAGGCTAAAAACTTACATGTATACGTAAAAAATGTGTAAGCCTTGAACAGACCAAATAAATGTTCATAATAATAATAATAAGCCGATGACACACCACAGTCAACAGACAGCGAAACATATACACGTATGCATGTGCATGTGTATGGGCATTGCACGAAATTAATGTGAATAATTTATTTGATATTGATTGATTGATATACGCTTAAGTCCCGACAAAAAAGGATATTAATGAAAAATGCAAAAATTATAAAACAATAAATAATAATAATCAAAAATCTTCCTTTTGCTGCCATAAATGCATAAGTAGTTAAAGCAAAGTTCTTCAAATCCTACCAAAATAAGCGGCAAAGATCACATGCAAGAAAAGGACTCAAAAAAGTTCCAGGTTGTTTGATAGCGGTTATATTAAGTGACGCACACAGCTATTTATATACACATACATATACATATGTTTTAATATTGTATTAAACACTGACTTTCGAAAAGGCCTTCAACGATTTAATGCAGTTTGTTGCTCCACTTTTGAGTTTCTCAGCAAATTAATCTATTATTATATATTTAATTACACGCGTTGTTTGTATCTACATACATAAAATCTCTAATAACTTTGCTTAGATCATAGAAAATAATAAATAATTAAACAAAAAATGTGCTTTCGCGGTATAATCGATTGCCTCTTCGGCTGTTGTAGGTCGAAGAAAACACACGGCCTCAATGAGGTAAGCTGCTGCCGTTAAGAGTAACAACAATAGCAAAAGCAACAGCAATTAATGCTGTAGAGTTTGTTATTAAAAATGCAATTATATATATAATTATTTCTATGCATGTCTGTTGTGGAGACGAGAGAAAGTTTTATTTAGCATTTCATTCAATTTCAACCGTCTACAATTAATTACATGAAAAATGTTCACAGAAAATATGTTAATGAATTTAGCAGATCACAAAATAATAATAAAAAAATTATCCATAAAGAATTCACTAATTCACAAAATATGGTAGAGAATACTCGTATACTTCCTTCCTAAACATTTTCAAAAAAAAATCCTTGCATAATCTTAGGCGTTCGTTTGTCTTCAACAAAATCACTCCAATTATTTCCTACTTTTTTTTTATCCTTTTCCTCAACTGCGTGGAGCCTTTCCTTTTCTAATGCTTTTACAATTATATGTAATGATATATGTACATATGTAATTAATGCTTTGTAACCACTGAGCAATTTGGCGTTTAGCGAATGGAAACGGCCGATGAGTTCTCATGAGGAGCTTTTATTTCACTTCAGAAATATACAATTAATATTCTATAATATTGGCGGCCGCGGTAGCCGAGTGGTTAGCAGTGCGTACTGTCATTCGGAGGGCTCGGATTCAAATCCCCTTGCGACCAACATCCAAAAGTTATGGAAAATTTTAATAATATTTGTATAAAAATTGAAGTTAAATTTTCTAATTGCGGTCGCCCCTCGGCAGGGAATGTCAACCTCTCCAAGTGTGTTTCTGACATAAAATGAGGTTCCTCATAAAAAACCATCAGCCGTTCAGAGGCGGCTTAGTATAAATTGTAGGTCCCTGCATTTTTTTGGAAAAACATTAAGATGCTAAACCAGAATTGAAGCAGAAACTCGGCCGAGAATCGCTTAAGCGGCTACAAAGTGTCAATTTTATAATATACATACATACATATATAATATTGGTTTTTGGTCGAACCAGATCGTTAGCACTATCCTTCTGGATGGCAAAGTCTGGACAGTCGCTTAACAGCTGCAGTCTCCGCAGGATCTCCTATAGCGAACTCTTAGTCTCTATGCATGTCGTTCTATCTGACAGTGACCGGGTTAGAACTGCTATTAATTTAGACATGCTCCCTCTTTTTAAGGACTCCATATCTTGTGATCTCTCTTTAGCGAGGGAAATCTGCTTGGTCATATTTCCTGGCGAGCTCAACCGCTTTACAGCTGCGTTCGATATCTCTGTAACCAGGGACCCACTTGTAATACAGTTTGTGTAATTATTGTGTTAATTATCCTTCCATTTTTATTCCCTGGTGGGAAGTCGTGCTCTGAAATTTAACCGTATTGATTTGTTAAACTATTAAATATTTTCGAGTATACCATAGAGCCAGCGATCAATCCTGGTATTTGAGCCCCATACATTATCTATGGCCTTGTTGTATGTGCAGTAGTGGGAGCAGTAGTAACCTTTTTGTTTCTTTAAAATATGTTATCTCTTCAGTTTAGTCTGTTATCTAAGATAGCTCCTAGAAATCCGGTATTTGACTCCAGTCTAAGTTGAACACCGGGCTTTGTTGGTGGGCTGGCAGCGGGAATCTTATATAATTCTTTTGTTGTTCAAACAGAGACCACAACGGGTAGATCAGAACTATACTTTTCAAAATGTTCCCTGCATTAAGTCACAAAAGATTTATTGGAACTCGTCCCTATGAGCTCGATATTTGTGATCCACCATAAAGCGAGTTGGCTGTTAGTTTACAGAGTAATCAGAAGAGCGCTCTGTCCCGTAGAGTGTCTCTGCTTACATATCTGGTTACTTGATACCCTTCCAGATTGGCGATTAAACCCTGCTCTGTAGCGATTGATTGGGAAAATGTTACTAATGGAATACCGATCCCTAAGCTCAACAATGCAGCCATCACTGTTTCCTATTTCCAATAAAATCTTTATTTTCAATTTTATTTTGTTTCACGTTCTATTTACATATATATGTACGTACATACATACTTCTGCTATGGATGACCTATAAACCACTTGCTATTATTAAATAAATTCCGACATATTTACATACAATTTCACTTTTAATGTATTTTTACTGTTTGCACCGTAAATTTGTATGCCAAAGAAAAGGAAGAAACATGAACGTGAATGCTGTTAGTCGAGCTACAATGCACGAGAATGACGGCATTAGCGGTTAATAATAAAATAAAATATTTATTTGCATACACATATATACATATGTATGTACATATTTAAATAGTAAATATAAAATACAATTGAAATACTAAATAAATACACACATACATACAAAAGAAAAAATGTTCGCTGTAATGACATTGTACTTGCAGAATATGAATAAAGCAACAAGTTGTTGTTTTTGCCCAAATGCTTTTGAATAAATTTTTTTTTTGCATGCGACAAATGTGTATTTTATTTTATAAATTTATATTGCGGCTTTCCCATATTTATCATTAAATTTATATAACAGGGTGTCTCAACAGGTTGCAGCGCTGCCGTAAAAGGCTTGCAAACAATTTTTGATTGACGAAAAATATCAATTTGTACGGTAGTCACATATGCAAACATACAAACATTGCCAAGTCATATAAAGAATATGATAATGAACAAAACCAAATTCTCGCTATTTCTCTTGTCATTTGCCAGTAATTTGTGTTTATAAATATACCCAGTAGCGAATGGTAATGGCTTGCCAATGTAGCGGTAAGTTACATTTACGGTATTCGACAATCTCCAGCGTCGATTACATTTTGTATAGCGCCTGTTTTAGAAATTTTATACATACATATGCCATTTCATAACGAAGAATTCACCAAAGCAATTTACCACTTCATTAGCATTTGCAAGCCAAGTCTTTATAAGCGCAACTTGCCACTGCATTGTAAATTGCTGGCGAAATTGTAAATGTGTGCTGTTCACTACTTTAGCGAAGAAGTGAGGTGTACAGCTTTATTGTACATTACCAAGGAAGTGGTAATGTGTGCAATCTACATTTGCTTTTTCAACCTAAATAAAACTTATTTTATTTATATTTTAAAAACTAAAATGAATATAAATATAAATATAATATATGTATACATATATATGGATTTCTTTAAACATTGAATACCGAAGATAATGGAACGTTGACCTGAAGCAACTTATAGAAATGTTTTCTTGATATATTGCTCTCCATTCGCCATTGTGATAAATTTTAAACTAAACTTTCACTTTTATGGCTCGAGCTTTCAATATTTTCAATCAATATTTCACTAAAAATTTTGTTCCCAAAAATTTCTCGGAATCGTTTATTTTTAAAATAATTTGCAACTCTGCCTTATAAGCCACTTTTCGCACCGCTTTGATTATATAATTAACAACACGGTTTATGTAATTTTTTTTTTATAAATTATTAATTAAAAATTCGCTATTGTGCCGCGACTGACCAAAAGAAAACTAACAGACCTATTCTGTCGAGATAACAAAATTTACTTTGGTATTAAAATTTACCATTCAGTAAATTTTGTTACTATTTCGTATTCTGAGTTCAGTGTCACCCTGTAAGTTTTGTTACCAATGAAATAGGAGGTCGATTTTGTATTGTTAATTTGTGAAAAAAATAAAAAAAAACATATTTACAGACATATTTTGCATCTAGAATTAACTGAAGATGTAGAAAAAAGTAAATTACCATTTTAGTTTGTCATTCAGTACTTTCACCTGAACAAGAAATTTGTTTAGAGCTTATAAACGAATCGGCTCCATTAGACAATGGAGTAGATGTTCATTTTAATACGTAATTTTTGAATCAGAATTTTTCTTAGAGGGAAAACATCATTGCCGTTTTATTTGAGGTTTCTCTCAATATTATATATCTTTTCCCACGAGTCGTATCAGGAATTTGTTGGGAGCAATTGTCTAACTACAATAAGCGAACCTTCTGATCGCGATCCCTGCACTATATTTCAAATTTGATAGTCAAAGTAAAAGCCGCGAAAATTTGCTTTCTCACAACAAATGAAATACAAATATATATATGAATATTCTACTTTTTACTTTACAAACTGACAAATGCAATTTAACACGGACGAAAACAGCAGTGCTGCCAGAATTTTTTTAAAAATTTTAACCAAATTCAATTACGGTTGTTAAAAAAAGTAACAAAATTTACTTTACCGGTAACAATGAGAATAGGCCTGTAAATCGCAACAATTTTCAGAACAAAACCAAAGTCTTGCATTCATTTAAATAATGCGTAAATTCTTTACTTTCGATATGTTGTCATTCTGGGGAAAAAATCATCGGAAACGAAAGCGACGCTAGAGACATGACCGCTGCGAACACGCATTATGGATTATCACTTTATATGACTAAATTCAGCGGTGATGAAATTTGCTACTGGGTAATCACACTTTTACCACACCCAAAAGCTGCAACGCATTTTTCTTAAATTAATTTTCAATTAATTGAATGATAAATTTATTTATTATTTTAATGTTTTCTTTGCTTAAATTAGCTTTACATTTTTTTTTATGAATTACATACATACATATGTATGTGTATATATTTTGAAATGCTTACTTAGTACAATGTCTAGACACTGAAACAAATTGTATGCTGGGATATACATATGTACATATATACATGCAAATGTATACTCGTATATGTACTTTTCTAACCAATTTGTTGCTCTCTAAATATGTTTAAAAATTAGTTAAAATTTACACCTTTGAAGAATTTCTTGATTAAACAAATGTTGTCCCTTGAGAAACATGATTATTTTTTATTTAGCTCATATCGTCTCTCCACTCAATTGATTACGAACAGAAAATCATAATGGAAACAAGGAAGGTAGTTTTACTCAATATAAATTTGTCAAAAAACGATTTTTAACGGTAAATCTTTTGTTCATTTTAACTTCAAGATATTGCCACTTTTCTTAAAAAAATGCCGCCTGAAAATAATTTTATTTCCATAGATTTCAGAAAATACAATTCAAAGCCAAAGTTTTTATGATTACGTTTTATTTTTGTTCATTTTATTTTATATTATTTTATTTTATATTATTTTATTTGTTTTTTTTTTTTTTGCTTAAAAAGAAAAGTTTAGCATTTTTTGTAATACAATATTTTTTTTTAATTTTAAAAAGTTGAGAATTTATTATTTTCAAAAACTAAGCAAAAGTCAAAAAATCTTTTTATGTCTGATGCAAGGCGAATTTACAGAAGGTGAAGTTGTCAGATCATATGATTGCTTGTTCTTCTTTCCATTTCAACAAATTACACAAACAAAATAGATTGAATGAATTTCGTTTTTGACTTTTCAAAACTATTGTTACACCAACAAAATACATAGGTTTTTTGTTTTTGTATGCTTGCTACCACCATGTGTGAATTTGCCTTGGTCTGATGGTTAAAAATTTTCTAAAAATTTCCGAGTGGTTTTTGTATCACGCAGAGAACCATTCAATATTTGTTGTAGAAAAATTTATGTATTTCATAATATTTTCCTTTCAAACAAAAACCGTAGTTTTGGTCCAAAGCGGTACTAGTACCATTTGTAACTAGTATTACTTCGTTATATATGTAACAGGTACATCGTGATTGTGTGAACCGCAGTTGTTTATATGGAAAATAGCAGTTTCATGACTACTTTGATTTCCTAGAAATACTAGTTTCGAAGTGATTTACGACTAGTACCTGCGACTGCTGGGTAGTTATGCCAATTTTTTATGTATAATACTATTTATTTTGTAATATAACATGTATGTATGTATGTATGTTATATGTACTCTTGTACGCACAGACACACTTAACCATACTTAAATACGTGCTAATTGACGCTCCAATTAAGGTGTCCACGGGGTCAAACCGAAATTTTTGTGTGTTGACGAAATCGTTTCGACTTCACGCTGTTAGTGAGCTCAAGTTTGGAAGTAGGTTTTTAAGCAAATTGTTCGACTTTGCTGTTTTTTGAAGTTGAGTAATTAATTTTCGAGTTTTCCCAGTATATGTAATTTAAAACCTCTGCATCCTTGAGGCTAGCAGATGATATTAAAAGAACTGATTTAACCTTTCTATTTTTAATTTTAAAAATTTTCCTATTCGTCAATGCAGGAAAATTCTTCATTTGTTTCCTGCTCTCTCTATTGCTGGTAAATATGACAAAATCTTTGCTGGATTGAGGGAGCGTGGAAACTCCTTTATTCTATGATCTATCTCTCTGCAGAGAGATTCTCTCAGTTTGTTGGAAGTTCTTTGAGTACATATGTTCTATGACGATGACTGGTCGATATTGACGTCTGGCCAAAATATTGATAATTTGTGTACTTATGCTTTCGAGTGCAAATTTCTTACGTCCTCACTCTGCTACTCTTTTCAGTAGCTGGACGAAGGAGTATCAGCTCGAACTCTATGTGAAAGTCGATGACATGAAAAATCCTACAAAAAATGATCCAAAGTTACTGAGGGTCACAATCGAAAAGACTGCACTTCTTCCCTCTGAATACGACTGCCCTAAAGCAGCCCTTGGAATAGAGACAAAGAAAAGTTGCTCGAAACATACAAGGGTGTTAAGGCGGGGACCAGCGAGACGCGAGACGCACATGAACACCGCCCTTAGTTCCGGGACGGAATGTCTCCTGAAGTCACCGATGCTTTACTCACACAGTGAGACATCCATACTCCAAATTAAGAAGCGTAATGCTATGCCGTGAATGTAATATCCGCTGCGGAACTACCAGCGCGAACACCCCGGCAGACGTTTACTTGAAGCTGAAACTTCACGGAGGCAGATTTGGAAAAGAGTGCAAGACCACATTGACTCCCTACAGCATCATAGACAGAACCTCTAAAAAGTACTGCGTACTGACAAGCTTTAAATGCCATTCACCGACGGTCTTGCACCATCTATTGCAGAACAATAGCTCAAGTTGTCGCGAGAGTCTAGAGTAATACTGCCACCATTAAGTTCTGGTTATTGTAGTATTCACACTTTTACCACACCAAAAGGATTCCATAATTTTTTTCTTAACCTAACTCAGTTTTTATATTTTTTTAATTACTTACATGCGGACATAAGGGAAGAATTAGGCCCCATGCTGCCTAAACTGAGCTTAAACAATTATAGAAAGAAAGAAAAGGGAAGCAACAACAACACTCCAGTAATTCTGTGACAACCACCACGATCTTCTGAAGTCACTTAAAAAAATTTGAGGAAATGAAGAACACTTAAGTTCACTAATGGATACTCACTTCCCGGGCACGAAAGTTAAGATAGATCAAAATATTTTAGAAATAACATCAGAGAATGAATAATGTTAGCTGGGCAATAGAGAGTTTTATGCTCTTTAAATCAACTGAGTCTGACGGTATATTCCCGTTTCAGCTGCAATAGTCCTAAGACCACATATGTGTTTTAGGCTTAGAAATTACCGTCAGAGTGCTGCAATAAAACTATATTCCGTCATTATGAAGGTTCTAAAAGTCTATATATGATATAAACCAAAAGCAAAGAAAAGCTCCCATACAAGTCGTAAAGACTTCAGACCAATTAGTCTATCTTATTTTCTGTTACAAACATTGGAACGATTAATTGAAATACATATAAAAAATAATTTAAGAACAGAATGAAATAATATTCATCCAAAAGAGTGCAATGAAAGCTCGCGCGACTCTTTAAATTCCCTCTACAATGAACCCATCTGACCCGATCTTCGCTCTAGTCGGAACTCTTCGAAGAAGGCCGCTTCCTGGACCTTCCGTTAGATGAGCTCGTTGACCTAGACCAGACTCGCTTGCTACTAAGCGGGGTTGCCATACCGCTGCACCCCTTAATCACATCAAGTGTAACTAATTGCTAAATATTTTTTCTGAAACAGTCTGTAATGAATAATTTGTTTCTTATTCTCCGTTTTGCTATTCTCTATAAAAAGACATTTATTCTTCTAAGTAAAAATTGAAAATATCAAAAAAAAAAAAACAAATTATTCCGTTACATCTGTTAGTCGTAATGTTTCGTCTGATTGTAAATTTTCGAAAAGCATGTGCCGATCCTGTTTTAATGTTTAAAAAATGATTTTTATATTAATTTCACTTTAAATTTAATTGGAATTTTCACATTTCTTTAACGGTAAGCGAGATAAGTTTAAAATTTTCTATTTTCCCTTTAATTGCAGAGTTCGTTCTACGACTATGTGGAACCGTTACCCGTGTATCAAAACGAAAAGATCGGCACCTTGAAGGAGGGCGTTAGCTTTACGGTGACCGGCAGCATTTTGCTCAACTGCGAGCGGTTAGTTTGACACATTTCACTTTTTCCCGCTGCTACTAATCCAGCCTTCTTCTCAATTACAGATTTTCCATCAATTTCATTATTGAGAACACACATCGCGACGTTGCGCTGCACATCAATCCGCGCCTGCCACAAAACTACATTGTGCGCAACACGAAAGTGAAAGGTGTCTGGGGCAAGGAGGAGGTCTCATCAGCACTGCCATTCTCACTGCATCGTGGTAGCACATTCGCCATACAGATATTCATAATGGATAGCGATTATCTGATCTCTGTGAATGGCGTACATTTCGCCAAATATGCGCATCGTTTGCCCTACGCATCGGTATCCACTATTGAGGTGAAAGGCGACGTGGAGGATGTGAGTATGGAACGTGCAGAGGTGGATTTCTACCCCGAACACATACCCGGCTTCGATCCCAAAGAGATACGTACGGCGCTGGATATTTTCGATGAACAGCCGAATGGCGATAAGACCGCGCTGATGCCATACGATGAAGTGGATGGCTCGAATTTAGATTGGGCACCGCTGGGCATTAAAAGTTCGATAGCTTTAATGAAGAATATCGCTTGTGGCATACCGTTGCCCTACTATGGCTTGCTGCCAGCGGATTCGTTGAAAGTGGGGCGTTGCTTGCAGATTGTGGGGCGCGTTAAGCTGCTGCCACAATCATTCTACATTAATCTCCAAAAGGGCCAGCAGTACTGGCCACATCCGATTATCGCATTTCATTTCAATCCGCGTTTTTCGAAGCAGAGCGGCGCTATTGGGAAGGCGATTGTGTGTCGAAATGCTTGGCTTGATGGCGCGTGGGCGGAGGAGGAGCGCTCAGAATTGGATACAGAATTTCGCCCGGGCAAAATATTTCGGCTGGCCATTGTGTGTGCGGAGAATGCATTTGAAGTGTATTTGAATGAAAAACTTATAACCGACTTCAGGTACCGTATCAAACCGGATATCGTGGATACGGTCTATATACAGGGTGATATAAAATTGCGTAGCGTTGTGCTGCTTAGCAATTTGTCGCCAAAGGGCACGAGACGCATTTACACAAACCCGCTATTCAGGTATAACTAATGAATGGTGGCGGCGTAAGAAAAGGAAAATGGGGGCACTAAAGTAAAAGTGGGTATGTTAAGCGATGAGGAAAATATTTTATTTGCAAATAATAATTTTACTTTTTTTTTTTGGACAGATAAATAGCGCTCTCTGCAGTGCATAGTTCTTATGCGTTCGAAATGGAAGAATGGAAAGCTGTAAAGCTTTCGCCACGGCTGCGAATCCGTGAGAGCCATACTTGATATGGCTGTGCAAATAGGTGTTACTTTATTTTACTGTTACCAAACACATTTATGCATATATTTTGTTTTCCGAACAATATATATATTTTTTATAATCTATCTATAAAGTTCATTTCACTATTAATTAGCAGCTTAGCTTTAGTCAAAAAAAAAAATTAAAAAAAAATCAAACACTCATAACACTCAATCAAAGATTAGACCAAAATATTACTTTATAAAATAATTATTTAACCAAAAACGGCGTTTGATAAGACACAAATTGTTATAAGAATTTTCGTGTTTTCGATTCCATGAATTTGTTCTCTATCAATACATTTGTATGTATGCGAATAATACTTCAATAAAAGACGTTAACAAACTCTATAACTATGTATGTACATATACTCGAAAGCTAACTCGTCTTAAAATTAATTTCCCAGACAATAATTAACCTAGTCAATGAGTGTGTGGAAGAAAAGAAAGAAAAACCAACCGGTGGTGTTCAAAGTAGTTGTCGGTTGGTCTTGTTACACTTGTATACTTTTACATATACGTAAATATTTTGCATTAAATATGTAAGTTTTTCAAAACTCGAAGCTTAAATTTTAAAATTAAAATTACCTTAAAGGATTTGTGATGTTTTATTGTTATAAAAATCTATCGTTAGAAATCTACTTAAATAATTGAAAGTGTTTGAATTGAAAATCGGAACATTTTATATACTCTACATATATATTTGTTGTATTCTAAGCTGTTTGTCTTGAATAATTATGCGCTGTATTACTTTAAACTAAATAATAAATAGATTACGTCTGCTTTTAAAATGAGCTGCAATATGAAAACGTGAAATTTTGATTCACCAACTCGTTTGTTTCGGTTTGTTTACCTTTTTAAATATTTTTCAACAGAAACCTCTTAATTAATAAAAAAAAATACTTTGCTGAAAACTTATGATTTTTATTCAAATAAAAAATTTATTAATAAATAAAAACTTAAAATTTATATATTTCACAATTCTTTGAGTTATCACCACCCTGTGTTGAAATGGGTACACTACGGAAGTAGATACAGAACGAACCAACTGAATTATATTGCGTTGGTGTGTGTCCGTACTAAAAACAGAATATTTTCCCTAGTTGCCAAGCTCTTCGTTCCTAAGAAACTTCCCTCTAGAAAAATTAGAATTATTATTACAAACATATACATATTGTTTATGTACTTGAAAGGTATATGTAAATTGAAAAATGAATTTTAGCCGCTGATTAAGACCAATATTCTATTAGTAGCTTGGCCAAAAACCGCTCAAGCGGTTACAAAGTTTACCACAGTTAGTATATCTAATTAATGTCAGATATGTACCGTTTTGCTCAATCAACTTTTTGCCATTTTGACGGTGCCAAAAAATTTAGACAACCGAGGCAGGAGCTCAAACCTTAACCAGCCAATTCATTCGCCATTGACAGAAACACTTAATAATCACTTGCTGCGAGGTTCGGACTATAAGGCGAGTGCATAAGAACCTGTCAACCAAGCTCCCGGAGCTGCTAGCGAGTCTGTACCGATGTGTGTGGTCTTTGTCCTAATGACAAACAATTCACCTACTTGTTGCCCAAGCTAGACGCTTATAGATGTTTCCTTTTTTTTCAAACCGTCCCAATTAAGAGTTTGGCTACAGAGGTGCAGTTCATAGCGGAGGATTCTTAGTTGATACCATCAAAAGCACAATAAAATCTTCCTGGCCGTCAAACCTGGGTTGCGTATCGTTTTAACTAATAATTTCTAACTCTTTGCTGCCTTACGTTTTAATGGATGCTCTCTTAAAACACAAACAATCGAAAAGTGTATAATTTAACCCAAACTAAGCTACGGCTAGTCGATCCACCTTTCATTAGTCACCTTTTTAATAAGAAAGTACAACAAACTTTAAAGTTGGAATATTGTTGTTGTTGTAGCTTAGGAGCAAATGAGCTGTTTCAAGTGGTTCGAACTTAAAGAATAAGAGTAGTAGAGGTCCTTCCATTGAGTACGTCGAGTCTTAATTAGAAGTTGAGTCTTTTGCAACACATAGATCTTTGTGTCTATATAATTCGATTCTCTTGAGAAAGCTAGTGCTGTTCATCAGCTATAAATGGTATTAAAGTTCCGAACTCATCAAGCGACTTCCGATAGAAATATTTCCGTGACTTTGCATGTGGCGCTGTCGGCTGAACTTTTCCAAGACTTTGAGGATTACTATCAATAGTACCGGTCAAGCTAGTACTTCTTCACCCCGCTAATGAAAGCTTCATAGTTTTTGTTATTGTAGCAGCTAGCAAGCCCCGCTAGGAGCAGGCAGAATCAGTCTTAAGTCATTGAACCGAAGTGAGAGTTGGTTTTAGAGGGCAGGCAAAGCAGTGGTTTGTCGATTCCGGTCTCTCGTGGCAGTTTGAGCTCTTGGTCTGCAGTTGATGGTGGTTGGTTTTTGACAAATGATTTTCCGCACCGGAGCAGACCCGAGTTTTATCCAGCCAGGAGTTGCGACCTAACCGCCAGGAGTTCAGCAGGTAAACTTATTCTAAAGGGGATGGTCGTCGATAGCGATGGAGACAGTTGTTATGGAACCTATTAAATGGTTCACTCTCACTTGGTTTTAATTGTAGATTTCGTCGTTGTTTTCATTTCTCGATTATGCCACCACCGAATTGTCATTCAGAAATAATGGGAAATATTTGTAAGCATTTCAAACCGACAGAATTTGAAGTAAAATTTGTAATATTTATATTCTAACTGTAATAATTAACTTTTTCTACTAATTAGTAGATTGATTATAATTACCTAATCGAGGATTGTCTACTAGTATACCGTAATGATGACATTGAGGTGATATCGGAAGGTATTTGCTTCATGATTACCGGAAAATTATTGCTGACTTGCGAGCGGTAGGCGCAATATCCTTTAATTAGTTCTTTATCGGTTAAGAATTCACCTCAGAAGAAACCATATTTTGCAGCTTTTTCATAGATTTCCTAGTGAATAATCCAGCTCAAGATGTGGCACTCCATCTCAGTGCACGGCTGCCACAGAATTATATGGTGCGCAATAGCAGAGTCAACAAAGTGTGGGGCGTTGAGGAGAACGCTTCACCGATAACGCTTTCATTGCGCCGTGGCCACAACTTCGTCATACAAGTTCTCGTAACTCAGAGCGCTTTCCTGATATCTGTGAATGGACATCATTTTGCTGCGTATCGACATTGTATACCATACTACTTGATTACCTCTGTGTTGGTAAAGGGTGAGGTCAAAGATATAGCAATGCAGCAAACGAGGGTTGCCACTTACCCCGAACGCTTAGATAGCATAAGGCCTATAGAGGTGGTGCTTAAAAGTAGTATTGGACCCAACCGCTCAACGCGGTCTGGTTATGCCGAAATGACAGCGCCCGTCAAGGGTTGGCGGTTCAGTATCGTACTGAGAGTTTTGACATGGCAACTGGAACTGTCGACACCTTTTCTGGGTTCATTGCCGCCGAATATCATGAAGCCAGGTCGTTTCCTTACGATCGAGGGACGTGTCAAATTATTGCCCTTATCCTTCTTCATAAGCTTACAGAATGGTGTCTACTTTTGGCCACATCCCACAGTGGCCTTTCATCTCGGCTCATACTTTTCCAACAAAAGTGAGAATATTTCTAAAGCGAAACTTGTACGTGCCGCATGGTACGATGGCGACTGGTCACCCGAAGAACTCTCCTATATTGACACTGAATTTCTGCCTGGTAAAAGCTTTCGTATTGCCATTGTGTGTGTGGAAGATGCTTTCGAAGTGTATTTGAACGGCAAATATCTGCTCGATTTCAAATATCACATGAGACCAGAAGTGGTGGACACCGTGTACATATGTGGCGATGTCAAGCTAAATTGGGTATCATTACACAGCAATGTCGAAGATGATGGCACTACATTACGGTATTTTACGAAAAAATTTGTTAAGCGAAATTCTCAGAATTCACCAGTTTCGGCTTGAGCTATTTTACGGTACAAGGTCATCGTTCTATGTGTGTGTGTGTGTGTGTGTGTAAATGGTTAAAACAATATTATTTTATATTTCCCAATTTAATTATTATTTTTCTTTAGCTCTAAAGGAAATTAGTGGTTTCTTTAGTTACTTATAAAAAGTACGAAAAAATAGCGAAAAAAACGACGTGTTTCGAATTTGGATTTGTAATCTAATAGTAGGCCACAGAAGTGCGGTTACTCGCTGCTGTGGTGTTCGTCTTGCTTAATTAAAATCTTGAACTACAATAATAAATTCAAATTCAGTGCCAAGGGAGTGCTCATAAACCACGTAGCTGCCCAAAGAAGGAAGGGCTTGGTTTAAATGCTACGCTTGAAACCTTTAACCGGTGCAAGGTGGTGGCAGCGAAGCCAAATAGTTTTCTTTAGATTAAAAACTGATTTATTAACTCTTAAAAAATATTTGCTAAGCCGTCTTTGGTTTTATCTACCCAAAACAACCAACAGACCAAAGGAAATTGCCTAACCAGATTGACTTTGGCAGTCAACAAAAACGTTGAGAAGAATCTATTATTTGCTGAAATTAGTACAGACTTATAATCAGATCAATTTACAGTAATTATGTTAAAAAATTTTATGAACAATTGAAAGTCAGAATCCTTGGCGGTGGAAGTAATTGGCAAAAAACACATAAGCAGTCACATTCAGCCCAATTGCGAAATGGAGAGCAAACATGACATAATGAGCAGAGTACACTGTTGAAATAACGAGTAATTCTCTTGCGCTCTATGGGATCGAAAAAAAACGTCCGGAAGCATATTCCCCGGATATAGCACCTTGTGATTTCTGGTTATTTTCAAAAATTAAAAAAACATTTAAAAGGAAAGGTCTTTAATAGCAACGAGGAGATAATTAATGAACTTGATAATCTTAAAAAGCAAAATTTTGAAAAGTGTTTTCAGAGGTGAGGCAATGAAATCTATGGCGATTACGTAGAGCAGATAAAAAAGGACAAAAATTACGAATAAATGCAAAAAAAAATTTTTTTGTGGTCAACTGACCGAACTTTTCTTAATACCATTTCTTGCTGTTTTCCAGCAAATTTTTTTAGACTTTTGGTAAGCACTCTTCAGTGTAACGTATTGCAGTTATCGCCTTAACCTTTTTCAGTTAAATAGCAACTACGAGGTGAGATCGGGTGAAGTAAACTGAACCCCCCTTCTTTTGCTGCTGATTTTTGTTACTTAGATTTTACGGGTGGGTTTGGTCCTGTGGGCTGCTGTTTGATTTATGGATCGTACTTATAGAACCAAGATTCGTCGTCAGTAGCGTCTTTACTAAAGTAGACTGACAATTTTCCATTTTCGAATTTGTTTAGGAAAAATTGAGCAAAATGCACTCGAGTCTCTTTTTGGGCCTCATTTGAAATTCGTGGTACCCATCGCACAGATTTCTTCCTGTACCCAAGATGATTACTTAATATTCACGATACAGCCATGGCATGCAATTCGAATTCATTGGCAATCATTGCTTCTGTCAATCGTGGGTTTTCAGCAATTTTGGACTTCACCAGAGCTACAGTGACGCCCTCAGTGGATGATTTTTGGACGACCTTCTTCTAAGAAAAATTATTTGGTCTGGAATCTTTGGAACCACTAGGAAATAGTCTTTAAAGATCGTGCAATCGTTCAAAATGTAATTTGGCATTCACTGAGTGTTTGTATTGGCTGTAAATTACGCCGAAACCCGAAGAGAATCACATGGGATGGTGGTCTGACCTATCTTTAGCTATCTTGTGTTTTCTCGCCCCCACTTTAGCCGATCGTTCTGAAATTTGAAAGAAAGACTAATAAAGTGATTGCAAAGAATTTGGTATTTTTATATTTTGCAAAAACAATTTGAATGTCACCAACTGACCGAACTTTTGTTGATATCCTCGTAAGTCAGAGAATATATTTTTATAGTTTTTAGATCAAAATTGCAATTGTTGTATTCTTAATCTTAAGCTCAGATTGAAAAACAAAAGCTTTGGGGAATATTGAAAATTAACGAGTATTCGTAATGCATGCAGCATAGGATAAGTAAAAGACTGTTCTCAAACCAAAATTTCTCAACTCAAAATTTCAACGATTCAAATTTAATAGACTCTTCAAGAACAAATCTTCAAAACCACTTTATCGATATTGATAAAACAATTGCCACTGCATTGGGTAATCAAATTAATTTGCGACTTCAATTAATATCTAGTGAAGCAATTGAATACTCCGCAGGCTTGGAATCTTCTCAATTTCATTACAACTCATCGACAAGAAATTGGAAAATTTCACACTCAACACTCGACAAAATTGGGGCCACTGGCTAAAAGCCAGAGCCATAATCAATGCGTTTGCCACCAGATGCACTTGAAAGTCACCATGTATGTGTGTATATATGTGTATATATGTATGTACATGTTAACGCCCCCTCACTCACTTCATAGAACTCGGAGATAAGCTAAGAGCTAAGAGTAGTTAAAATGTGATAAGGCAATTATTAGAAACACTTGTTTATGTCAATGGTATACACACATACATACATACATACATACATAAGAGGAGATAAGCCTGAGTGGGTAGCTAACATACATATGTACATATATTCATATACATAAATACTTCTCACTCATATAATATTCCACACTTTATATGCTCGTACAGTAAGCTGCCAAACTTTGGTGATCCGTTGGAGCAACGTGCAACAGTCGCAACAGCCACAAGAGCAACAGTAGTGACTGCCGTGCTGCAGATTTGTTTATTACACACACACACACACACACGCGTACATATGAAAACGTATTTTAAAGCAAGTCTTCTGCATTGTTTATTCCCAAGTGTCTCTGCCAGCACTACTACTGAAACTCCACTGCTCCACTGCCTTCAATTGCTTGGGGACGCATTGTACTAAATATTTTAATGCGATTCCGTATGTACACGTATGAGCGAGTGAGTGGCTGTTGGTATAGCTGTCGCTTTGTTTATCGCAAACGTTTCAATGCATATTTTACGAATCGTTAACTACAGCAACAATTAAATGAAGAGGGGGCGTATTATAAAATTGCCTCAGGGAATGGTCGTTTGTGATTTTGGATATGAATTTCCCATGCCCTGGAAATGATTTCTGAGGTTATTTGGTTTTGACATTATGTAAAGTGATTTTCAATTGCATCAAATTGAGTACTGAAGCGTAGAGCAAAAAAAACTTCACTGAAAACTCTCCTTTACATCTCTAAAAAGAATATTGATAAATTTTTTGATGGGGATCTTTGAGTTTTCTAAAAACCAACAACAGATTTTAGGCGTTGGTGTTGTAACCGCAAAATATGCACTTTCGGATGTGACATTTTTTGATGTAACTCGAAGCAACTCGCTGGTTTTTATTCACGTCTTACGACAGATCAAACAACGACTCCCCTTACCGCCTACCAAATACAAAAGGTCCTTTCATAGAGCTTGACTGGATCTGACAGCCGTGTTACGCAATGTTACACAACGACTTATTAAATATTATTATCCCAAGCTGGGTATACATTAAGACCAGAAAGTTTCCGGAAATTCGTTCGGAATTGTGGGTAAAAATTTCCGGAAACTTTCATGACGATAGTGCGCCATCGCACCTAGCTGTAATCGTGAACGATTTAAAGGCCAAAATATTCACCGGATTTGGCCTCATGCGCCTTTTTTTGTTTCCAAAACTCAAGTTATCCCTCCGTGATACCATTTTCGACTCGATTGAGGCCGTAAAAGAAAATTTGCAGAGGGAACTGAGGTCGACACAGCTGCTGCTGGTTGACAGATCGTGCTCACTTTTGCCATAGTAATTAAGGTCAGTGCCACCAAGTTAACAAAAAAAAGTACTGAAAAATATTAAGTACGAGCAATTTAAATGACAATTTCCGGATGTAGTATAAAATAGAAAAAAAGAGAGTGACTAATCGTTAAGTGGGAGACGGAGTGTGAAATTGTGCCGATTTCAAACATTCGGATATGTGAAGTTTTATAGAAATATGTCAATTATTACTTGAGTTATAATGAACACGGACGGAAACGACCTCGTTTCGTCATTTCATGAAGTTTGATGTGCAGGGAAGCGTTTTTATATCCGCGGAATGGGATGGTTGTTAGGTTCATTAGAACCGTAACGAATTCAGGGACTCATTATTGGTATAAATACGAGGTTTCATAGGTTTTTAAATAATTAATCTTCGAGCTATCGTTCACGAACCCACATAATCGGAAGTGAAAAGTGAAAAAGTGAAGTGCAAGGAAAATCTGTCAGTTTGCGACAAAAATGAAAGAGATGACACTGGTTTATGGCAACTGTTGTCTGAGAAGAGCCTTGATGTATATGTTTCAAGTATTATTTTAACAAGTAAGTTAATCCCTTGAGAAGCATCCAGATGACCACGGGAGGACTTTTCCTAAAATTTGGAAAAATTGTCCTCGACGATGCTCGACTAAAGAAGGAACCACTCGTTTGAAATTCCTGCATGACCGCCTTGGCATGACTAAGGTCAGCTTAAGATGCGCGCTGAGAATGCTCACGCCTCAACAAAAACAAGAGCCGTGTTGGGTTTGGCTGCCCTGCACAAGATGAGCTTCGATATTTTGAATCACTCACCCTAGATCTGACCTCGAGTGCTTATAAACTGTTTCCGAAAATGAAAAAAGAGCTGAGGGGTCAAATATAAGTTTGCTCTTCATTCAATGCGTTATAAAAAGTGTTACAGTGACCGGATTTAGTTAAAATATGCGCCGTTTTGTTCGATTATCGGTTTTCATCTAGATGGCAACTTCATAATACCTTTCTCGTAGAAGCCCCCTTCCTTATTTGCGAAGAATTCGGACAGCCACTCTTCACAAGCCTCTTTTGAGTTCAACTTCACACCACCAAGGGTATTCGCCATGGACAGGAACAGGTGGTAATCACTTGGCGCTACGTCCGGGCTGTATGGTGGATGCGATAAAACTTCCCATCCGAGCTCCCGTAGCTCCTGTGGTCTGGCGTTGTCCTGGTGGAACACTACACCCTTCCTGTTGGCGAATTCTGGACGCTTCTGGTCGATCGCCTCCTTCAAGCGGTCCAGTTGTTCGCAGTAGATGGTAGAATTAAGCGTCTGGCCATATGGGAGCAGCTCATAGTGAATGATTCTCTTCCGATCCCACCAAACACACAGCAAAACCTTCCTGGCCGCCAATCCCGGCTTAA